GAAGAAAGTTGCTCTTCTAGCCTGCGAGAGCTGACAGCTAGCATCTTGCGAAGCTCTTCGATTCGCTCTAGAAGCTGGGAATCAAGCGAGACGGACGGGGTGCGGTGAGATTCGGAGTCATGCTCGAGGAAAGAGGTTGGGTCCCTTCGAGCGAGATTGTTGTTCTGCCAGTGACCGCCAGATGTGCTGCCGGCAACAAAGCCAGGCGTTAAGCGACGGATATCGTCTCCGCGCTGCTGTTTGGCCACTTCGACGTAGCCATAAACGCCCTGTAGAACGCCCTCGGCTTCGTGTAGACATTTGGAGGCGGAGTCTGGTCCCGGCCAGTCCGCGGCAGCAATATGCGAAGACAAAACGAGTTTGGAGAATTTGGACATCATGTCGCGGAAATGAGGGTAGAGCGCCTTGTTTGTTGAGATGATCGACGGGTTCCCGGAGTGGTTATCAGTAGTATCAGAGCCTGCAGCCAGAAGCATCCGTAGATGGTCGGACACATCCTCTGCCCTTCGGACGTACTCTGACCGCCGGCCTTCGATGATGGCCTGTCGGTACGCATCAATTGCGTCTCGCATGTTGCTGACGAGTGAATTCCATGTAGGATGTGGAGCCGTAGAGTCATCCAGGAAGTAACGAGGAATAGATGTAGAGATTCCCAGGGGCAGAGATCGATCGGTAGTGGTCGAGTGGGAGGACATTGGAGTGCCCATGATGGGGATGGAGTCCATTCCGCCGTTTCCACCGTTTGAGACGAAATGGGGAGGATAGGCTGATTTGAGGTCATAGTGTTTTGTGATGGGCGAAGGATTGACGGAACCTAAGGATGTAGCAGGAGAGACGCCATCAGAAATGAACGAATGTCGGCGCTGCGATGCCATTAAGAGAGAGTCACCTTCAGCCTCTGAGGCAGAGCCATCATAGTCATCTTCGTAGCGGTCGATGCCACGGGCCATCATCTCGGGTGGCAGGCGGGTGTGTTCGGGCACGTAGACGTTTGTACGATCCCGGGGGCCAGACTCGTTGACGGAGGTAGGCGTCTCCAGGGGAAGTTCCATTGTGCTGTAGCCGGTCAAGGTGTTGTAGTAGAACAGACGGCCGTCCGCGGTGGCCTGGGGGATCCAGAAGGCGGCTTCTTCGGCCTCACCACCGTCTGCTCCATTGCTTTCTATGGGCAGGTCCTCGTCTCTCAGAGTGGTGTCTAGGCCATCGACGTCGTCTTCGTACTCATCGTCAGCGCCGGATTCGGCACTGGCATCACCAGCTTGGTCGTTGACAGCTTCAGGGCCAGGAACGACGGCGCAATAGTTGCTTGGGAACCAGCCACGGACATCACCAATCACGCCGTCCCACCAACCGGTCTCGAGCTGGTTCAGTACCTGGATAATGTCGCCTTGCTCGAAGCTGAGGCTGGTATGGTCGTCTGAGGTGTACTTGTACAAAGCTCTTACATAGAGAGCCGGAGGCGCCTCTGTTGGTGATACGTAGCCTGTGAGGAAAAAAAAAAAAAAAAAATAGTCAGTATGGGAGAGACGGCTGGGGGAAGAAGAATATAGCAATTCCGGTACAGACCATCATCATTCGCCGTGCCAGCAGCGCCCTGGCCGGCGTAGCCATCGCGAGAAGCCATATGGCTTTTTTATAAAAAAAATATAATTTTTTTTAATTTTCAGAAAATGGATATTTCGTTTGACTGCCGTCGTTCTTGATCTCGGTCGTCCCCGGCGAGAACAGCGGACAAATAAGCAGACCAAGAGACAGCGAAGAGTCCACAGAGCGAGAAGCCCAGAAGAAGAATTGGTCGAGAATCTGGGAAAGACGGGGGAGGGGGGAGCGCCTAATGTTGGTGTTGTATGTGGTAGGAGGGAGTGCGCATGATTCGTCGAGACGGCCAAGGCACTGTGTGTACCGAGTGTGACCAGTCCGTCAGTTGCTGTCAGATTGTTGTACTGTTGCTCGACGGGCTCGTCCTCAATCCATATCCCCTTCGAACGAGGCTGCCGCGACAGAGAGAGAGAGGGAGGCCGAGAGAGACGCAGCAAGGGCCAGCGAGAAAGGGGGGATCTGGTCCAAGGCAGCCTTGAGGGACTCTGGCTGTCCCTCTGCCTGTGTGGGTGGTTCGTCGGAGATGTTTCAGGCCCGGGTCCGGAGTCCAGGAAGTCCCCCTACCCGTCCAGCAAGCGGATCGTGCGCCCAACGGTCCGGCGAAGAAGCAGCCGTGGAAGGTCGACGCCGGCGGCGGTTGCAAGAGTCGTGGGTCGGTAGCTGTACTCGTTGTCACTGTCACTGTCTGTGTCGTCGTTGTCGTTGTCGTTGTCGTTGTTCGCTGTCGCTGTCGGCGGCGGCGGCGGTGGTGGTGGTGGTGGTTGTGGTGGTGGTTGTGGTTGGTTCGTCGTCGCTGCGGGCGTTGCAGGCGAAAGTCGAGGTCGACGTTTGGCCGTTCTGGACTTTACCCAAAACGGACGACGCAGAGGGAAAAAAGAAGAAGGTGGGGACGGCGGAAAGGGGGCAAGCTTAGGTAAGCAGAATCTGCCTTGGGTAAGAAGATCGACTGGTGGACAAGCCGGAGGAGCTGATATTACTTAAGGCGCAGGCAGGAGAGGAAGCAGGAAGAAAAAGAAGAAGAAGAAGAAGAAAAGGAAGGAGAATAAGAAGAAGACGAAGAAGATTTACGACGGGACAGGACGAGAGGATGGCCGGCTACGGCGAGATGGAAGGTCGAGATGGGCAGCGAAGGGGAGGCTGTTAAGCTACGCGGTGCAGCCCAGGGCGATGCGAAGAGGCACAGGCAGCGTGCTTAGTACTTAGGGGGGGGGAGGGACCCTCGCTTAAGGTCTAGTGTGGGCGGCCAGACCCAAGCGAGCGCATTTCGTCCAATACGTCGACCCAGGGATGCTCGATGCGCTAGACAGCTCTTGGTCGGGTCAAGAGGGTCGCCAGTCTTGGGCTGGGATGGGATGGGAGGAGCCAGGGAGGGGGGTTTAGCTCGCCCAGCGGTGCTCGATCCTCTGCCGCCCTTTGCCGCAGGACAGGGCTAACACTTTATGCATGGGATGCGAGGGGAAGCATGAGCATGCATAACCATAACCTACTTACGGAGTACCCTTACTACGACTACGGAGTCCTATCGGTGACTTACGGGACGAGCTAAAACTCGATACCACCTTTGTTTAAGGCCGTCCATCGTCGTCTTATCGCCTGAAACGGCTATCCAGAGATCGCTGGCAGGGCCGAAGGTTAGGGTTGAAGGCAAAGGGACAACGAGATGAACACGTTCTGTTTCATGACACTGCTGTGTTAACCATTATTATTATTCCCTCTGCCTGACTCTTCTCTGAGGAGGCAACACCACATGCATAATGCAGACGCAGAAAAGGTATCCCAGGAACAGGAACAGGAACAGGAAAGAAAGACGAAGCCATCTAATCTCCCCATGTGAGGTGGTAAATCGATCGACTTGGTTGAGTTCTCTGCTCGCCACTTCAGCCTTGTACCAACTGACCAGCACACCACTTACATCAGAGGCGAAGGAACAGAGGAAAAGAAAAATGATAATAAGAAGAAGAAGATGATGCACATCTTGAAATTATATTATTGAAGGTGGGTAGCCACACGCCACAAGCCAAGTTGAAGAGATTTTAACGATGAAAAAGAAAAAGCCCAAAGCAGGAAAAGGGAAAAAAAAAAAAGAAAAGGAGGAAAGGAAGGAACAAGGCGGTTCATACGGAGTACGGAGAAGATGATTAATGGATAAGATGGAGGAGGGAAGATGCCTAAATGATTTTTTGATCTAGGCATCTGTACCTTATAATCGCCCGGTTTACCCTGTTTATCCCACCTGCTAGTCCGGCGATGATGGGGGGACTGAAAGGGGAAAGGCAAGCCACGAGCTGAGGATATCTCTCTTATCTTTTTCCATCTTTTCCTGACTATCGAACTTGGTCGACAGGGAAGTCCTCTTCGCCATAAATTACTTCTCTACCATGTCCGTCCGCCTTTTTCCCTCCTTCTGCTTCCCTGGATGTGCAGGAGAAGGAAGCAAAACTCAATTGAACAATAATAATGTGAAGAATCAGAAGAGGCAAGCTGCGTTCTTACGGAGCCAGCATCAGATAATAATATTTTATTATCAGCATCCCGAACTATGTACGGACACACCGCCTGGCCTGGTGGCCCCCCACCGGAGATGCACCATCTAGACCTCCCGTCTCCATCTCCATCAGCCCACCAGGTAATTAAAATGGATATAATTAATGTGAGTAATAAATAGGTCAGTAATAAATAAAATAATTCTGGTAGGTAAGCCCGGTGCGGTGATGGCGTGTGTGTATAGGTACTCATGTATAGTTACGGCCCGTATCGTCGGTACGGTCCAGTCCGGTTGGCAATTCATATGCAAGACCTGACGCCAGCAGTTCTCGAAGGGGTTCACACCCAACAAGCACTAAAAAGCCAGAAGAAGAAGAAGAAGAAGTTGAGTTTTCCCTTGCTGAAACGGTCCGCATTCTAACTCAAGAGAGTAACGGACGACGCCTTTTTGACCCTTTTTTTTTTTTCTGGGACGACATACGTGGTGGGCTCGATCGAGAGTCAGTCTTGCAGTCAAAGAGTAGAGGGGGAAAGGGGGGGCAGCAGATCTGACTTGTCACAGATGCTGCACTTTCTTTTCCCTTTTCCACTCCCCGTTTGCCTTTTACTATATATCCCACGAACGAGCTGAGGGAGGGGCGAAACATGCCCCTCTGCCTGTGCTGGCAAGGCCCTTTTTATATCATTATTATTGGAAGAGTCGGGATGAGAGAGAGGTGCGTGAGAGATGAGATGGAAAGAGGCGAGATGCGTGTGGTATGACGAGTGTCATCTTTAAATTCAGGGGTTCGCTAGGGGGGCCCTCGGATCCTGCATGGCTTGTTACTGGCTGTTCCCGTCTGGCTGTCGTCTGTGTAAGGACGAAGGACGGGATACACTGATAGAAGGAAGGCTGGAGGAAGGTAATAATAATAACGATGTCTCCCCTGCACCGACGGCCAACAGTCCCTGCATGGACAGACAGGATGGGCGGTGTAGATAGACAGCAGAGTGAGCAGCAGCAGCAGCAAGAGACAGCAACAGCAGGCCAACACGAGAGACCAAGCAGCAGCAGCAGCAGCAGCAGAAGAGAAGCCAGCACGGCCAAGGACGCCGGCTCGTCCAGGGGGAAGGACGAAGCAGAAGAAGAAGAAGAAGAGGAAGAGGGCCCTCTCCCCCCAAAGGAACCCCAAAGAAAAGGCTAGGGGAGGCCCGAGGCGGGAAGTCGACCCCACCGGGAGTTACGGTAAGAAAGTCAGAGCCGGCCGTTTAAGAGACGAGACGGCCGGAGTAAACAAGACGGCATAGTAGGAAGAAGAGGAGGAGTGAGTCTAGTATCTAGAGACAGTGAGACAATGAACCAGACGACGATAAAGACGACGAGGACGCCGACGAAGGATAAAAGATGCTGATGAAGACAAAAAGCTGGTGATGGCGATGGTGATGATGATGATGATGATAATGAAAGGGCCAGCCAGTCCAGAGTGAGGCGATCGATCGGCCGGCCACTTTCTAGCGGTGACCTGGTAATATCGCCGTATCGCTCGTGTTGCTATTGCTCGTGTGGGCTGTATTATTACCTTACTTTACCTTACTCACTTTACTTTACTTTCCTTGGCTTGACTTTACTTTACTCTAGTCTGTCTGTATGGTAAGAGGGGGAAGAAGGGGCCCTGCTTCGCCTTTTATGCAGATGCTGTGGCTGGCTGCTTATTATTATTTGTTTGTTTTGGGTCGCTGAGGCTTGTCTTTACCGTACGGTACCTGACTTGCCCCTCTACCTCTACCACTTTTACACCACGTTTACCACTCTGACCACTTCTCCCGCCCTGTTAATTACCCTTGTTTACTCCGTACTCTTCGTTCTGTTACATGGCCTGTTTTGATACCGTACGCGTTTCTCTCCTCCGTCGTCGCGGGGGGGGGAAAGTGGTCGGGGTGGGGCGTGGCGTTAGGAGGTGCGCTGGCCGTGGTCGCAGGGCTCAGCTGCCCGCCACGCAGCCCTCCCCCTCCCCCCCCCCCCGTCGCTTTTTTGTCTTGTTCCTGCTGCTGCTGTCCTCGCCTGCCCCTCGTCGCCCGCGGCCTGCTGCCACGCCCTTACTGCCACGCCATCCCTCTTTTTCTTCCCTGTCCGCTTGCGCTCTTCTTCCTTTTTCTCTATTATTTATCGTGGGCTTCGTTTTTTTCGACCTTTTTTTCTCCCTCTTTTTGTCCCTTTTTTTTTTTTTTTTTTTATAACAACATCCTCTTCAGTCCTCTTTCATCGTCCATCTCGCATCTCCCTCCATCTCGCATCTCGCATAGCTTCGACGTTGGTCACTCTCTGGCTGGTCCTTGTACTCGTCGCTGTCTACTCTACTCCTCCTCCTCCTCCTCCTCCTGCTACTCCCACTTCGCCTCGACTTTCTGCCATCGCCGACTTCAACTTCTGGCCCAAAAGGGAAATAAAAAAAAAAAGAGCCACCACAACCAACTTCATCAGCCTCTTTTTTTTTTTTATCTATCCTTCCCTTTCTCTATCTTACTATTCACTACCAATAGACCACTGTGCATCATTAGCAAGGCATGCTTAGTCCTCGACAGTCGCTCGCCGTCACCATCACCACCACCGCCTTCACCGTCTCTTCTCGCGCCGCCAGAATATCAGAGGAAGCAAGATAACCATTTCGGCTGGAGACTTGCTACGGACTTGGAGCCTCGTCTTCCTGCTCGTCTGGTCTCTTTTCTCCCCGTCTCGCTCTCCTCTGTTCCCTTCCCGGCTCTCCTCTCCTAAATTACTCCTCGATAACACTATACAATGGCTCCTGCTGCTGCGTCAAGTTCCGGTGCGAAGAAGGCCTCCATGCCACCCGAGAGGAAGTACAAGTGCCAGTTCTGTCACCGGGCCTTCAGTCGCAGTGAACACCGCAGCCGACATGAAAGATCTCGTATGTCTTCTCGTCTCCTACTGTTTACGCTCCTCTTTTAACTAACAACTACGCCTACCTAGATACAAAGGAACGGCCGTTCAAGTGTCTCAAGTGCAGAAGTACCTTTGTGCGCAGAGACCTGCTCCTCCGTCATGACCGCACAGTCCACGCAAAGGATGGTGGGATTCCCTTGGTTGCCGAGGGACGTCGACGTGGTGGAAAGGCTGCTGCTGCTGCCGCTGCCGCCGCCGCCGCCGCTGCTGCCACGACTGCCAACGCTCCACAGACGACCACATCAGCGACAACAGCGCCAACTCCCACGACAGCCACAGCCAAAGCTAGCAGCCCGTCCAAGTCGTCCACCATCGACCCCGCTGCGTTGGAGCAGATAGAAGCCAGCAGTGATGGCATGGTCGACCTCGAGACCGCAGCCATGCTCATGACAGACTTCCAGCACAAGGCTGCCGCTTCTGTCACCTCCGCTCAGCATCGCAGTCACCAGTCCTACTCGGATCGTGGGAACAGTCTTATGGAACCATCTGTCTCCTACATGTCTGGCAACGCTACCCTCCCCCAGATGCCTTGGGATACCTTCATGGCCGATGTCAAGCCCTCCAAGGAGCCCTCCAGGTCCTCTCAGGCTGCTGCTTCTTCCTACCAGCACCAGCACCAGCACCAGCATCAGAACATGGTTGCTCCCACCATCGAACGCAGTTCCTCGAGTGACAACTTGGCTCCAAACATGCACTCACTCGTCCATTCTTTGCCTGTCTCTGGTAACTCGACCCCCAACGCTCTGTCTCCTTACCCATCCATGACCGGACCCGTTTCCCCAGTCAACTACAGGCGTTCACCCGGACCCAGCCAAGTCCTCACCCAGCCCAAAACCCCACAGATTGCCAGTGATGCCGAGCGTCAGATCATCGTTGACCGGCTAGAGGCCAATGACAGCCTCAACAGCCTGCCAGAGACCTTCAAGGTGCCCACCACAGCCGTCTTGAACAGATACCTGTCCACTTACTTCAACATGTATCACCACCACCTGCCCTTCCTGCACCCGGCCACATTCAATCCCAAGGATGTCTCGTCTCCTCTGCTCCTCGCCGTGTTGTCCATTGGTGCCCTCTACACCTTTGAACGGGAAGATGCCTTCATGTTGCACATCGGCTCCAAGATGCTGGTCAACCAGTTCCTGCAGCAAAAGGACAACTTCGACTCGAGAAAGTGTCCCCTCTGGGCCATGCAGAGCACCTTGCTCAACATGATCTTCGAGAGCTGGAGTGGTGACTCCAAGGGCCTCGAGTGGACCTGTTCCATCAAGAGCTTGCTCGCCAACATGGTCGCCGGCAACAGATACCAGCTCAAGCTCAGAATAGATGCTCGCGAAGGTTCTACCCCGCGCCACGCCGAATGGATCGAGGACGAGAGCTGTCGTCGAACGTACTACGCCGTCTTCGTCTTCTTCGGCATGCTCAGCCTGACATTCAATCACAATCCAGCCCTGACCTTCAACGAGTTTGATACCCTTGAACTCCCCTCGTCAGAGTCTCTCTGGAACCTCGAGATCTCGGACGAGTACACCTGGCGCCGAGCTCTGGGCGGCAGCTCCAAGATCCTTACTGTCAGACAGGCCCACGACAGCCTCCTGCGGGGCGAACCAGTGCGTTACTCCGCCTATGCAACCCGTGTCATGATCAACGCCCTCTTCCTCGAAGTATGGTATCAGTCTCGCACCATCGACGCCCTCCAGGATGTGGTCACCCAGTACAAACTGCGCCTCGCAATTGAAACATGGGAGAAGTCCCTTGACATCTGCGAACCTGAAACCATAGTCGTTCCCATCAGCACCCCTCAAAAGGGCCACCCGCTCATCTTCAACTCCATGGCTGTCTACCGCAATACCCGCGCCAGACTAGAAGTTGACCTCAAGTCCATCCAGGAAGCTCTTCGCTACCACTCGCCCTACGAGGTTGCAGCAGCCATGACCGTGGCCCGCGAAAAGATCAAGCGATCCCAGGAAATGAACAAGGTCGTCACGCAGTGCTTCGAGTGCATTGAAATCGCTGCTGTTCAGGGACTGAACTGGGTTGCCACAGCCTCTGCCACGAACTGGAGCATCGAACACCCACTCTGCGGCATGGATATGATGGTCATTCTCAGTTTGTGGCTTTACCGTCTTGAACACGACGAGGAACAGGCTACTGAAGACGAGCTGGAGCTGTATTACAAGATCCGTGGCCTGTTCACCAACGAGCTCTCCGACCAGCATGACAAGCTTTGTTCCACCGTTGCGCGCGTATGGGGGAACATCCTTGACGGCGTAGTCGTATGGGGGTAAGTCTACTCTCTTCTTCTATTTCTTTTCCTCTATAGCCAGATGCTAACATACTCTCTAGAATCACCAAGCTCATGGGCGAGGCATTCAAGCTCCACTCCCAGGCTCTCGTTGGATACCAGGACGCAGCAGCTAGTCCCGAGCAGGCCCTTGAACCCATGCCTATCAAGGGTCTTGCCAGCGTCGGGACTGCATATTGACTGCGCCGTTAACCTCTCTCCCACCTCACACAACCTCGACTCGAATTTGTGCATCCCTCTCATCTCTTTATCTTCTGTTCCTTTTTCCTTTCCTTCGGCGTTATGTTGAGGCTTTTCTTTTCTTTTTCCTTTTTTTCTTTTCGGTTCCATTTCCTTTCCTATCTCTTCCTGATTGCGGCATCTCCTTTCCCTTTTTCCTCTTCTTCTTCTCTCCCTCTTTCTCGCGAAATTTTTGCTCCATCTCCTACGTTTCCAGCGTTGCTTTTCTCGATTTCTTTCTCTACTTTCTCTATTTCGGTTTTTCGCTTGCTTGAAGGGGGTGGTCACGGACAACAACACATTCATACATACACAAATAGATTGGCACTACCGGGAAAAAACATGGACATGGGGTTTTGGCATGACATGGCAGGCAAAGGCGAATGCAAAGCGGCAAAGGTGATGAAGAAGAACAACGAGCAAGGCCTGTCTACCGACTTGCCTTTCCTTTTCTTCTTTTCTCTTTCTAATCTGCATTTGCATGCCTCGTGTCAGAAACGGATTTCCTTGGATTTGATTTTTCCCTCATTTTCTTTTCTGCTTCGTTCTTTTCTTTGGCTGGTGGGTTTGAGATATCTGTTCATGTCTCTTTTTCGTTCTTTTCTCTCTACTTCCTTCGTGCGGACTGGCTGCTCACACAAAACACCCCCCCTTATGCCTCCTGGTGGCTTCACCCGCAACCAATACCCATCCAACCTACATCGACACTAGCCTCTGCTCTACATCCGAGCTAAGGCATACACCTCATCTTCTCTACACCAGCTGGTCCTGCGTGTCCGCGTCTGTTCGCCGCATCAACTTGCTTCTCTTCTCTCTTTTCTACTATTACATTACTACCTTTCTACAACACCCTACATTTAATCTTTAGTGCTTTTTTTTTTCCTTTTGCTCTTTTTGCTTGCGTTGCCTTACTGCTTCTTTTTCTCGCGGTCTATATACTCCATTTAGTTCTCCTGTCTTCTTCTGCTTTACTCTGATACTCTGCTCCGTTCTGCGTTTGTGCATGGCTCTCATCTCCTCGTCCTCGTCTTTGGACATAATATGCCTCCGCCTCCTTACCTTGACGCGTTCGAGTTCATTGTTTCGCCATTTTCCTCCATTTCCTCTTTTTTTTTTTGGAATTATCTTTTTTTTACTCTTTTCCTTGCTTGCTTTTCTGGTCTGCGTTCTGCGTGCCGCGTTAATGTCTCTCGTTTCTATATCAATCTCATCTCATCTATTTACCTATTACTTACTAGATTTCTGTTCGGTCAGCCAGTGTTTGTTTTTGCGTGTTGTCTTTTTGCTTTGCTTTTACTTTTCCTTTATTTTCTTATATTTAATCTTTTTTTTTTTTTCTGTTGATATTTGATATAGCTCCTATCTATCCATCTATTCTATTCATTGATTTATCCTTTCTTATTCCCTTGGTCAGATCTTCGATTCTCTTTTTATTCTCCATGGTTGATTCTGCTCTTTTTCTTTCGTGTTCTCTCTGCGCTTCTCTTCTCTGGTCTACTACAAATTGCGTGTACCATACAGACACTTTACTTAACATAACCCAAATAATCTCATCATATTGATGGTGAACCGCTCTCTTCCCTTGCAGCATCGAATTTAAATTAACTAGTAAACCTGTAGTTGTAACTTAGTAGATTGACGTCAATGTATCGCTCCAGTCGAATTCAACGTATTTATTTAAACCAACCAACTCTCGCCAAACACCCCCCCCAACCAAGCCACACCACATCACCGGTCATAGCAAACCACGCACCTCCTAACTCACCGACGTCCTACCGCCGGCCGAGAAAAGCCTATCCCCAATATCCCCCAGACCAGGCTGGATCATTCCCTTCATGTCAACCTGCTCGTCCACGGCCCCCGTCCAAACCTGCACGCCTTCCTCCCACTCCCCCGCCGCCTTGATAAGACCGGCATGACTACCCAAGATACACAGGAACAAGATCCGTTCCACCCCCCACTCACGCAGCGTCTGGATGGCCGCTGAGGCAGTGCTGCCCGTCGCAACCACGGGGTCGATGATGATTGCTAGCTTTGCTGCGGCGGAGTTGACACCCGTCGAGTTTGGCTGGAAGGGGAGGTTGTTGTAATATTCTACTGGTTCGAGGGTGGTGGGTTCGCGGAACAGACCGAGATGGTGCACGGCTGGCGTGCATGGGAGAAGTGTTTGAATTGCTTTCCGTTTCAACTAGTTAGACCTGCTGTCCAATCCGTCATGTCATAATTGGGGCGGGTTTGGGTATGGATGTATGTTTTTATGTACCGTTGACCATGCCCAGGCCTGATCGCAGAATAGGAACCAGGGCGATCTTGTCTGGCGTTATGAAGCTAGTGGTATATTCGTATCCGAGGGGGGTGGTGTTCTGTTTCATTCGTTGCCCTGTTTAGTATCGGGGAACTATTGAGTGATGGTGGCAGCGGGGAAGGCAGGGAACAACGCACCTTCTCGCCGGGGGCCACGGAGATGTTTTCTGCGAAGGCCTCACAGCCTATTATCGTGGCTATCTCGTGGACTAGGTCGTTGGTTTCACGGCTTGATGCCTTGCCTGATCGAAGCTGGGAGAGCTTCACCTGTAGACACGGATGGCGGGACACATGGACGTTTTTCGGTAGGTTCTGGGCCATGGTGAGGAGATTCTGAATCTATCCAACGCTCAGCTGCTAAACGGGATGAATATGAGGAGTATATAGCAGTCAATATGAGCGGAAGAAGCAGAAGAAAAGAAATGGATGGATGTAGATATCAGGATGGAAGCGGACGCGGAGGGGAGAAAGCGGCTGATTCTTATCTTATCGGTAAGAAATGGGGTAAGCATGTGTAATAATACGTGTAATATCAATACGGTTGATAATAAAATACATGGAAAACTCCCGGCGAGAAGAAGAAAAGAAAAAAAAGAACGAGAGAAGAAGCGAGGAAGATGGCTTGCGAGACTGCTGGAAGCTGCAAGTTGATGCCACCGAGGATCTCCAGCTTGGTCCGCCGCTTCCCCGACGCTATTTGACGCCCGAACTACCCATGAAGCAGGGAAGAAGCAGTGCTGCGAGCCCGCCAGATGCCCCCAGTCCCAGACCAGCGAGGCGAAGATGTGTCCTACGAGCTCGAGACGATAGGATCGCGAACGATCCCGGAGCGGCGTCATACGGCAGATAGCGGAAGAGATGGCAGGTCTTCCTTGTCTCGCCGTGAACCGTCTGCGTTACTCGAGAGCGCAGAGTCACGCATATCCTCACCCGAACACTCGCAGGCGGAGTTGCAGCTATCTCACCATGCGACCCAGCTCTACACAGTCTCCTATCTTGTCCTCTTCTCCATATTTGGAACCCTGGCTCGAATCGGACTGCAGGCCTTGACGGTATATCCCGGGGCGCCAATAACTACGGGAGTGACCTGGGCGAACGTCGGTGGCTGTCTGCTTATAGGCTTCTTCGCGGAGGATCGCAAGCTCTTCAGTGAAGAATGGGGTGCCTCTTCTGCTGGACGGGGGAAGCTGAATGGCAATGGTGATGAGCAGCAGCGAATTGACGATCCTGATGATGATGCGGACGCGTTAATGAAGCATAAGGCAGTCAAGAAGACTATACCGTTATATATCGGTCTGACCACTGGGTTCTGTGGCTCGTTCACATCCTTTTCGTCCTTCATGCTTGATGCGCATCGTGCACTATCAAATACCCTGCCGAATCCCAACACAGAGAGTATCTTGCCTAGAAATGGCGGGTATAGCTTCATGGCGGTCGTAGCCGTCATGTTATACTCTATTTTGCTTTGTCTCTCTTCAATTGTGGTTGGAGCCCATCTCGCAGACGGCCTGTCATACTTCACACCACCCCTCCGGTTCAAGTTTATGCGTAACGTACTTGACCGAGTCGTCGTCGTATTGGCCTTCGGGTGCTGGATCGGAACTATCTTCCTCACCGTATGGACGCCAGATCGATATCGGCCAATACAAGAGCAGCATTGGCGTGGTTCAGCAGAATTTGCCATTATATTTGCACCCATAGGCTGTCTGTTTCGATTCTATGCTTCCTTGTACTTCAATCCGTTTGTTTCTTCATTCCCACTCGGAACGTTCTTGGTCAATATGATAGGCACTCTGGTCCTGGGCGTATGTTTCGATTTACAACATGCTAGCAGCATCGTTGCTAGAAAAAATATAGACGATGTACCGTCCTTCCACCGGCTACTTGGCTGCCAGGTCCTCAGGGGCATAATGGACGGGTTCTGTGGATGTACCACCACTGTGAGCACTTGGATTGCTGAAGTTCACAGCCTAAACATGAAGCATGCATATCTATATGGACTCGCCAGCATTGGATTGGGGCTCGCCCTTTTAGTCGTTACCATTGGAACCATGCAATGGACTGCCGGATTGGCACAACCAGCCTGTTAGACTTGTATTATATACGCAAATATACATATCAACTTTGGGTATATCAGAACTGCCTCTTTATTTCTGCGCGCATCAAGCCTGTTCGCTATATCACCCATTTACACGACCAAATTTTCGCGAATGTCACCGAACCCCAACCCGCCGTCACTATTCCCGTTTCGAGCCGTTCTCCCAGTTGACTCAATATTCGATGTTTGATCATGGCTGCCGCTTGAACTGCTCTGATGCGACTTCTTCATCTCGGATATATTCGCAAGAGCCCTCTCACGGGCAGCGAATTCCTCACGACGGGCACGCTCCCTAGCGGCATTGCGTCTTTGAGCAACTAGACCGCGATATTCTGGTTAATTTCCACCCTTCGAAGTAATCTATGCTTTGATGCTTGATGGGATGTGATAACGCACATTGCCAAAAGACCCAATACGCAGCCATGGTTATAATGGAGAGACCAATGAAGCCGAACATGATGCTTAGTTCTCGCTTGAGAGATGTAATAGGGGTATACGGCATCATGGGTGTATGACGAGGACGTCCGCCATGCCCATGGTCGTGCGGATGCTGCATTTTTTCGAAACGTACGGATGTGTCTTCGAAGAATGTGAGTGAGGCTTCCCGCGGGTAGTACCAGGTATTCAGTCCCTTCTATCGTCGGGTTCTTGGTAGACTCGCGTGATTACTTGCCCTGAAGGGCCTGTGAGGAATAACTAGCTCTGACCAACAGGAAACGGGTTGGAAGAGCGTACATGGGTTGCACCCATCTGGGGATGAAATGTACGAGAGAAAAACTGGAGAAGATCGAGCGAGATATCTGAATGGCCGCCATGTGCTGTTTAAATATTATTCGCTCAGCTTCGCTACAATGTAGAGACAAAGAAAGGTAAATTAGTCTCTAGCCTGGTGGGAGCTGAACGGCTGTCAGCCACATGCCAAGATGGGCCCAGGGCGTAGACGTCTCTAGGCGAAAAGATATTGATAGATGATTTGGAGTATTTACATGGAACAGTTGATGAAATGAAGGACCTGACCAATTTCCAGGTGTCCCGCTGCTGGACGGAGGGATAGCCGGAGTTAGTTCGTAAAATTGGGTCATTAATGGGTAGGCTACGGAGAACAGAGGACGGAGTACAATCCGAAGAATCGCCAAATGCCTAAGTATAATCAAGTCGATTTTTGGGGGCCGGCTTGTCCAACTCCCTTGAATAGAACTTCTTTGATCTCTGCCGCCATTAGGCCAGCCATTTCTTCTCCAACGATCCGATCTCCGTCTTTGACAATCTTGATAAGCTGCTGGTCCTTTGCTGTTAAGTTCTCCTTCCCATCCACGATGGCATCGCCTAGTATACCGCCTCTCGCACCAGGACTCCCGCCTTCTATTGTTCGGGCGGCTCGCTTTATCTTCTGGCTGAGGTCATTTATCTGTTTGCTTCCGTAGTCTCGGTTGGTGAAAAGCGGGCTCTGGCTGATGGTTGCAACCCAGTATTTATTCCAGAGCAGAGATAATATTTTGGTGTCTAATGTGCTCTTGAAGTTTGAAACTTCTAGAGAATAGTATTGTGACGCATGGGCACCGAAATCCTCGACCTTATTCAGCGGTATACTCTGGTATTCATCATCTTCCTCCTGCCCAGAACCGGGTGGAGTATAGTCTTTTGGGTAGGTCCTGAATGCACCAATCTCGACTTTCCCAGCAGATATGGTACGATCCGGGTCAATAACCACGGCAACGAAAGGATCTGAATAGGTCTGTTGGGTGTCTTGTGTCGAAACATCGATACCGGACAACCAGCATCCGTAACCCGGGTGACTATGGTACCAGCCAATCGCGTTTTCCATTCTTCCGGAATCACGGCACGATTGTAGATATGAAACCATATACTCATTCGCTTCATCTTGGGCGTTGACTCTGGTCTCTGTCCCCTCCACCGGCAATCGGAATGCATCGGTGACGACAAACGTATTGGCAGCCACAAACCCTTGCATAAGTCCCATCACCTCGAGATTCCCTCCCGATCGAGCGTGCATAACCATCTTAAGGAGTGCGGTGGCAGATATACGAATCGATTTGAAGTAGTGGGGGTCTTGGGCCCATGGCTTAGCAGCCATCAAGGCCTGAGTAGCTGCCTGGTCATAGTTATAGAGAGCATCGCGTTGCGGGTCAACAAGCTTGACATGGTTTTCGGCTTCTATGGAGCAGAATTTTATATTAGCTCACTGAACCAAAATTGTAGAACATGCTTGAAGGAGAAACGACAGATATACCCCATGACTGGAGTGCTGGAGTACTCATGGCTGGAACTGTCTTTCAGCTCCCGTGCTTTCCAAGCACAACTGCCTAAGCTGCAGATTTCAAGCGAGCTACCATCTACTGTAGCCTCGAGATCATCAAGGTAGCCAACTGAAATGACAATAGTGAAGAATCGTTGGTTGACAGAGGCCGACTTTGATATTTAGGAGAGCGATCGAGAAACACAATAGCGTTTGATTATATAAGCCATGAAGATGACGTAAATAATTACATAATAATAGTCACGTGAAAGCTTTGACCACTCAGTATGACCCACTTTTTCTTCTTCGCGCTTTCTTCGTCTGTGGTCCGTGCTTTCCCCATATCTGTTGAAGTAAACAAAACAAGCAACCCGAAGGGTGATACAAAGCGGGTGCAATATCAAGTACAGCTGCTCGAGGAATTGGTGAATAGTTATTTTACCTTACTTTCTGGAGAAAAATATAGAGCACAAGGGCCTCGGTCCTCCTTAGGCCCCATTCAGCTATGTTAAAAACTAACTCTTTGGTAACAAGCATAATTTAAACTCTCCTAGCATGCAGACCATTATTCGATGTAACGGTATGAGTTTAAAAGCGATGTTTTAATGGTAAGGAATAGAATCGAATAATTGCTGGAGCTGCCTAGGTAGAATGCTTTATTTGAGCCTAATTCAGTTACTATGTATAGGCTTTGATGGCATGCTGTGAATCACAGGGTTCGAGAGACTGAGCGTGAAACAAGCTTTCCTGGTTCTCACATTCCTAAGTATGCTAGGCCCCATATCAGACTTGGCTAGCCAGGTTAATGCGGCATTCGATAGTATCTTACAGGAATTTCCTTCCCTATTAAGTTCCCCTAGCCATAGTAACCTTTACCAGCTTCCTTTCCTTTCCCGAAATGTCCATATGTTTGTAATGCCAACCAAACTCCTTTTTGATTCCCCATGTTATCCTCCAGGGCTGGAAAATCCCGGTTTTAGTTCAAGAGTGCATCCATGCCAGCTAATACATTCAACATTAGAGGACTGGTAACTCGGAAAACATGGATAGGGATGGACAAACCTTCGGAAATTGCAAGCTCGATCGCACGCTGGACCTGAAGAGCACAAGGATACCTGCCCTTCCAGCACCCCATAATAACATCTCCAAGGGGAAGATGGTAAACAGAAGGGTAGACTCCATTGTTGAGCCAGTGAGCCACCACGCCGGGCTCATTATCGGAAGAAAATGGACGTCTGGTAGTTATAATCTCATACATGGTTGAGCCCAGAGCATGGATTTCAGCTTTCACGGTAGCACGGCGGTTTTGATCACGGTTCGGGTGGGCGTATCCAATCTCAGCAGAGACAGTAGGGAGGTTACCGCAGAAACCAGAGCCGGCAAAGTCGCAGAGTTTGATTGTGCGGTCGGCGTCGAGTAAGATGTTTTTCCCACAGAGATCGGCATGGCGAATATGGAGGCCGTGAATGTAGTCAACGGCGCTGGCGAGCTGCTTGCACCATTTGATACGCTCGTAGATGGTGGCCACGCCTCCGGCTTGATAGTATTCACGCAGGTCACCATGCTCGGCACGCTCAAGAATGACTCCGTTCTCGATGACCTTGAAGCATTTGACCACATGGGGGTGTTGGCCAACACTCATCATGTTCTGGAAGATGAGCTTTTCACGTTCGATGTTTTCCTTGGAATCAGGGTCATGAGAGCAGATCTTGTAGATCTCACCGCGAATAGCAGGAGAGGAGTAGATCAGTCCGGACCCCCCAGAGGTAATGAACTTGGAGCCTTCAGGGGGGTCAATGTAGCGTGCTGGAGGCATATCATCATCATCGTTCCCAAAGAAGCACATCTTGACGCGTTCACTTGCCTTGTCTTGCGCAGTAGGTGGTTAGACGGGAGAGAGAGATACCTAGTAAGAGAGGGCAGTAAAGAGGAGAATAACAAGATAAACCCCCTTTTCCTCCTTAAGGTAAGCATTGCCTTTATTCTATTGTGCGTTCAGGGACTGTGTTTGTCACGTGGAATCTAGACAGGACAGACTGACAACATAATGAATGGCTTTAGCAGCAGTTATGGCATAGAGGATATTTGAGCCTTAGCTTGGAAAGAGCATGGCTCTTTCTATCATGCTAGGAGGCTTCTGCCATAGCACTGTATGCGCTGATTAGTTTTATATAGGGTCATGATGTTACAATATAGTCTATATATTGAATGAAATTGCTTGACGGGTATCAAGAGGTATAAGACTAGGTTTGGCTCCTGAAAAACTCGACAGCGGTATATAGGTCATCCGTGGTATTGGATATCGTAGCTCATGAAAAGAAGTTAAAGAGGTCTCCTGTGTGGTAGTAGAACTCAAGATGATATTGATACAGGGGTATAATCATCTCGACTTCTCCCGGCCATCCTTTTTGCAGGTTATGATCCATCTTCTCGGCCATGCAGACCCAACTGTCGCCCAGGGTACTCTATATATGCTCCCACCCGGCTCCCAGACGTCGCCCGCTGCCATTCTCCTGTCGTCTTTGCCTCCGCCTTGTCGTTCCTTGTCATCCTCGCCGTCCGCTTTTCTTTTTTGTGAAGTAAAAATAAAGTCGTACCACGTGATGTATGACTTACATGCTGAGTCAGCGGTTGCCGTGGAAACTTCCGGCGAGTCAACAAATCGCAAAGCCGAAAGCAACGAACGACTTCTTTTAAACCAGATCATCGTCCGCATATCCAACATTTTCCCAGACAACAATCGACAAGACACCGCGGGCACCGCTTCACTCATCGCTTCGACTGCTTCGCTGCCCTCTCATCATGAACATGCGCCTTGCATGATATGGACTGTGATTGACTGCCTTCTGCGCCCTTGTTTATCTCACCCTCACTCGTTTCTCCCCCCAGCGCGACATCCCACATCCCCCTCGGTCGCGACACACCGCACTAGACAGCGACTCGACGTTTTCGCTTAGAATTATTTTCCATTTCTCCTCTGCATAGCAGTGAAAGCACTGATCTGGTGCTCGGTGCCATCTACTCACCAGCCGAGCCGGGCATGGCCGTGGATACAAGCTACTTGACCAGCCAGGTCAACTCCATCGTTGAGCAGCTCCATGGCCTATTCGATGATATTGGTGTTCCTCACCATGAACGGGAGTCACGGGAGTCAGAAGTAAGTGCTCTGATTTCATTCTAACGGCTTGCGCGAGTGATCATTACTGACACGAACGCGCAGTTATTTTCGGCTCTCTCAGAGACGTTACACGGGCATTTACAGCGTGTCGACGAGTAAGATACACCAACTTCCAAGTAATACGCCCATATTTTTATTTGACAAGTTCTAAATTTGAACATTTGAACAGAGAGAAAAATGAGATGATGCAAGAAGCCCACCATCTTAAGACTACTATTAAACAGATGGAAGCCTCACTCGACGGGGTTGGGAGAGGTAGCCGGGAATATGAGGATATTGAAATTACATATCCCTTGAACAGGTGTCTTGAAGCTCTCAAGGAAAAGCACAATTCGGTCAGTAAGCTGCACCGCGAGAGATTCGAGCAGGTAAAGAGTATGTTGACTTTTGTCTTCACCACCCAACTCAAGTCGGAACACTTTTCTAACAAGGATGTATAGAGCTCGTGGAAGCCCTAGTATCCTACTCATCGCATCTCGAGTCATCCTTCGTTTCTCTGGAACTTCCACCCATTGAGCCTGGTGCTGTGGCTCCTCCATCATTTGACCTTTCCCCTACCTATGTTAAAGCACTTGATGCCGAATTTACCAGAGTATACGAGGAGTACAACCGCCGTGTTGCAACAATGAGCAGCCTGGGGCAAGAAATAGTGAATCTATGGGCCGAACTCGGTACACCCCAAGCCCAAACGGAGCCCCTGATCGTCAAACATTACCGAGACTCTCCAGAACAATTAGGCCTTCACCAATCAGATATTGCCAACCTTCGTTCACGGCGCGAGAAACTTTTGGACGAGAAGAATGCTAGAGAACGCAAATTGAAGGAGCTCAAAGCGGCGGTAGAGGCCCTTTGGGACAAACTAGGGGTCGAGGAGTCAGAAAGAAAAGGATTCCTTGCTTCCAATCGTGGGTGTGGACTGAGAGCTATAAACGAGTTCGAGGAAGAGCTCTCCAGGCTTAACGAGCTCAAAAGACAAAATTTACACCTCTTTGTGGAAGATGCTCGGTGTCGGTTGCAGGAACTATGGGACAGCTTATACTACTCGGAAGAGGAAATGCTGGACTTCACTCCAGCGTTTTCGGACGTTTACAGCGACGCTCTACTATCCGCCCACGAAGGAGAAATCGCACGTCTTGAGGCTCTTTTGGAGGAAAGGGCACCGATTCTTCAACTTATTGATAAGCACAAATCACTGATTGAAGACCGTGATTCTCTTAATGCTTCTAGCCAAGATGCTTCTAGGTTGATGGCCCGTGGTAACAAAGGAGAGAGACGTGATCCTACACGGCTTCTTAGGGAAGAGAAAATGCGGAAGAGAATTGCAAAGGAGCTGCCAAAGGTTGAGCTAGAGCTCAGGAAGACTCTACAGCAGTGGGAAGATGAATACGGCAGACCATTCCTGGTACATGGTGAACGATATCTGGATGAAGTTACACCTGCACCTCCACCATCGAAACTCCCTCCACGGTCTAAAACTCCTTCATCTTTCTCCACTGCTTCTAGGGCAAACTCTGTTCGAGGACCTCCATCAATACGTGGAGGAGCTCCGCCAAAACCAACTATCGCCCCTCCATCACGGGCGAAGACACCAAGCAGCCATGGTTCCGTGAGAAACATACCCAGGCCTTACTCTGCAGCCGCTGGAACCTTTTCAAAGTCACCTTCGAAGATACCTGCTCGTGTTCCACTAGGTAACCTACCTCATGGGAACAACTCTCCAGAAAGGCGAGAGCAGCCAACTCATACCTACTCATCAAGCACAGTCAGGGGCAATATGGGACCCCCTAGAGCACCGCCACCAAAGATGAGAGATCTATTCCAACCACCAAGACCACAAACATCTTTCTCTTCTTATAAGACCGACCCAGAGCGCTGCCCAAGCTTGATTTCGGGTAGCTCCAGCGGTAATGTAACATCTCTTAGCCCGGATGAGGACTCGCATGAGAGGAAACATCACCAGCGTTCACGCACACAACCTTCAGTCCCGTTGCAAGCCCCGAGCGTAAACTGCTCAGTTCAGTCACTACACTCCTCCAACGTCCAAGACAGTGGGCACTACCAATCTCAGCAATCATCATTCGTTAGCCAGTCAAGTGACAAGCAGTATCGGCCACAAAATCCCTCCAACAGACAGATTTCAAATTCAACCATACAAACGGTAACGTCAGGATCAGAGAACTGGGAAACGTATGACGATGCATCTGAACCCGAAGCAGATGCAACTGAGGTCTATTATGCCAAACTACGAGCCACCCATGGCAAACGCATGGGAACACCTGGTGATCTAGGAGGTACAAAGAAAATAAGGGGCATCCGGGGCGTGAGCTCAGATGAGACAGAAAATCACTACCCACACCGAGTTGACGGCAGTGATGGATGGACTGATGACTTGGAACAGTATTAACTGACGCATTGGATGAGAGTTTCTTGGAGTTCACTTGGAGCGTTGGAGTAGGTGCCTGGCGTCATTGGGATGAAACCATGAGATAACGAAGGCTACCGAGAGAAGCCAGGATTTTATACCAGCAGATATCTCTGATTCCTGGATCACCTCGCTTCCTGAACCAGCAGGCCACAGCTGGCACGGACAATCGATTGCTATATGTGTTCACGCCATATAAACGAACCTCATTCCTCGTCCTTTTCTTTCTCTTTTTCTTCCACTCGCTCTCCTTCGGCTTTTCTGGCTGTTGTTGTCTTTTTGCAAATGATTTGTTGTAATTTGTGCTTTTTCTTTTTCATTTCATTGTTCCATCGGTTGGCTGGCCTCACAGGTTATATTCTGGAAAGGTCTCTCTACTTTCCTTGTGCCTCCACTCCTGGGGTACCATCATTTCATTGACATCGCTCATCCCATACCCGACCACCTGCTGGCAGGCAATATGTTCCAGTTTCCTATTATTGATGTCTGGCAGTGAATTCATTCAATTCTTGCCTTGGCCAGCAGAGAACACGAGGCTATTCAGCCAAGGGACATATGCATGATTCCCTCCATTTCTCATTTTTGTATGTCTGGTTTGATTTTTGCTGTTTCAGTCTGCATTTATTCTGTGTACTTATTAGTCGGTTAAATCGTCCATTTATCCTTTAATTCGAGTTCTCTATGTCTGCGGTAATCCTTGGTGAAGCAGGAAGTTAGGTCTGGGTTATAAGCGTGGCTATCTATGCAAGTACAGAAGTTATAGTACACCGAACAAACAAATTAAAAGTACATAGTGTTAATATGAGATGAATCCCTATTTGGACAGGCCAGCAAGTGATCCCATCCAGGCTTTAGATTGCAATTCTCCCTCAGTTGGCGCAGGCCTTTTTTTATTTGGCATTTGTTTCTGAGGAAGCAGAGGTTTAGTGGCCTCTTTAGCGTCTTGCAATCGGCGAACAGTTTCGTCTCGTCCTAATATCTCCATAGTATTAGGGATGCCAATTCCAGGAGCGCCTCCAGAAAGAGCCCAACGAAGGTAATGGAAAAGCTCTTTTCTAGCCCCCTGTTCCGTCTTTTCAATGGAAGCATCCCCATCAGGGGTGGAGACTGAAGTATCGGAAAATATATAAGAAGCAATATTTGAACGATGAATTTCGGCTGTCCAGTGCTCCTCGGGGATCATAGTTAGAACAGCAGCAGCCGTATGGAGGGTGGATATTGGGATCGCTGGTTCAGATGACGGATTTTTAGCAGCAGCAGCAGAGGTATATGCGGGCCGATTTATTGCCTGCGTGAAGAATGTTTCGTTTTGCGTTACGAATTCTTCAGCGGTGGTATACGATCGAGCACCTTCTAGCAGGAGAGATGCTACATATTTATCGAGGGGTCTACCTTTGAGAAGAGGCGATCTAATGATATGTTAGTAACCCGACTCCATTGTTTTGCGTTTTCAATGCCAACGTACAGATTTTCAGGGGTAAATCTCTTCAGAACCGCATTGACAACCTGCTGGGTTACAGCTTCGAACTGCGGTCCTCCTTCAGCAGCATACCGTTTAGCATGTGCTTTCTGCAGGAACCAGAGCTTTTCAAATGCAACAACAGTGTTTCCTTTGGTAAGTTTTAAGTTAAACTAGCCATGATATTAGTATAGTACTATCTTCAGGAACAAAATAGAGGATACATACGTTCTCTTCTAGCTCCTTTAGGCTGAACACGTCTGATTTGCGGGTATGAGACCACCCAAGTAGGGCTGCAAAGTTGGAAAGGGTCTCCGGGAAGATACCCTGCTGATCTTTGAAAAAGGATATATCGATATCGGCGTTCCGCTTGCTGAGCTTTTGGCCGTTCATATCAACCAATAGGGGGACATGGCCAAACTGTGGCGGTTTCCATTGAAAGGCATTATACAGAGCCATATGCATGGGTGTTGAGGACATCCATTCGGTGCCACGGATAACATGGGTTATCTCCATGAAGTGATCATCCACAACATTGGCAAGATGGTAGGTTGGGTGACCGTCGGACTTTATAAGGATTGGGTCTGGATATACACCCTCGTGTCCCCCTCGTTGTCCAACCGGACGATTCTGGCCGGTCTTTCCATACACAAGATCGTTGAACATAGGATACTGGTCATCAACCCGTAGACGAACAACATGAAGCTCTCCATTAGCTGCTCGCTCGTCAGACTCCTCTTTAGATATTCCCGCGCAGGTTCGGTCATATCCTGGTGTCAGTCCCATCTCGTTACGGTGTCGAGCCACGCTATCGAGGTATTCTGGCGTGCAAAAACATCTGTATGCATGGCCACCGGAGATAAGTCGCTGCGTTTGGGTTTTATAGAGCTCAGTTCGCTCGGACTAAGGGTTTTCCATGAGCTTCGCGTACAGTGGTGTAGTATCAACTGGGCCAGTTTACCTGTCTATACGGCCCGTAGGGGCCACCAACTACTGGACCTAGAGCCATCTAATATCAGAACAGCGTTCTCTCTCCCATGTTTGTGTTTCATATTGAGGCCCGGTCGTACCTTCGTCCCAGTATATGCCAGCCCATCGTAGATCATCGTAAAGCCGTTGCTCGGCTCCAGGAATTGTCCTTTTCTTCGACCGTCAGTGAATATTTCTGCAGTTACTGCAATTCCCCTACAGCTAGGCTCCCCAGAACCAATATCACCATACCTGGTCCGTATCTTCAATGCGAAGAAGAAACTGGCCTCCGGTGCGTTTTGCGAGCAGGTAGTTGAATAACGCCGTTCTGAGCGATCCAAGGTGAAGATATCCTGTCGGTGAAGGTGCAAATCGAGTTCGAGCCGGTGTATCAGGTAGAGTATTCTTAGCTCTTTTATGCGACAGACTGGCTGTGGTCGAGAAATGCGACTGGCAGCTCCGGCAGACCCAGGGAGCTCTGGCGAGGAGCGCGCGACGGGGCAGCATAAGCGCTTTCATGGTGGACGGGCAGTTTAGCTATTCATCATCAAGCCCAGCAAGTGAAGGGCCAGAAGACAGATTCACTTTTTGCATTCAGCATCCAAAGACAGGATGCTGTAACTGAATGATGCTCTTTTCCTTCTTGCTTCACTCCGGTTGCTGTCAAAGTAAGAAAATTACTTTAACGGCGTTTCCTCCCGCCGCTAAAAATAAAATAAAAAAAATCTAAAGAACTTTTCCTCTAACTACCAAATCAAACAACCAGAATTACAAATTTTCATACTTCTTGCGATCTTGAAGAAACTAAGATAATATCGTCGCTGGAGGCTGTGGCTGCTGGAACGGACCGTTCAATAACTGTTCTTTGCTCGTTGAATCGGCGCAGACATTTATCGTCTCGTCCTAAAGTTGTGAGACCCGGAGGCGGTTGAGCAGAGAGTAAGTACCAACAGGCAATTGTCAAGGGAATTATCTGAAGGAATCTTCCAAGTGAATCAGACAGCGATACTAACCTGAACAATTAGTGAGTTCCGCCGCAGCAGAGGTTGATCTATATGGTATATTTATCTTTCCGGGAAAGCCATTGACTGAAGGTGATAATGGGATGATACTGATATCGGTAAAACAGAGGTTTTGAACCTTGACAGATCCGCATCGAAGGAAGAGATTCGAAAAGCTTATAGAAAGGTATGAGATGGCTGTTACGAGATACTGTGACGCTTTTTATGGACCATTTGCTGACCAGGGCGAAACTTTCAAATAGCTAGCTCTCCAGTATCACCCAGACAAAGTCCAGGAAGATGAACGAAAGGAGTCGGAAATAAAATTCAAGGCCGTCAGCCAGGCATACGAGATTCTTTATGATGAAGAGAAGAGACAGATCTACGACACTCAGGGAATGTCGGCGTTCGATGGGTCTGGTAGACCAGGTGGCATGGGTGGAGGACCTGACCTCGATGATATACTGGCCTCCATGTTTGGCATGAATATGGGAGGTGCAGGCATGCCTGGCTTTGCTGGACCAGGAAGACGCCGGAAGGGACCCAATGAGGAACAGCAATATACCGTGAGTTTAGAAGATCTTTACAAGGGCAGGACGGTGAAATTTGCCAGTACAAAAAACGTCATTTGCACTTTGTGTAAAGGGAAAGGTGGTAAAGAAAAAGCTACTCCAAAGAAGTGTTCCACTTGCGGAGGCCAAGGTAGGGCATTATTTTGGTTGTGTCTACTTGAAATATATGTCACTAATTATATTGAACAGGACAAAAGGAGACTTTGGTACAGATTGGACCAGGTCTGGTCACTCAGTCTATGATGAAATGTGCCACTTGCGATGGTGTTGGTTCTTTCTTCCTGCCAAAGGACAAGTGCAAGAAATGTAAAGGAACGAAGGTCACCGAAGAAAAGAAGATTCTCGAGATTTACATACCTCGGGGTGCAAGGTATTGATATAATGAACACTCTGCTTTGATTTCCTTAACTAATAGTGCATATAGGGAGGGTGAGAAGATTGTCCTCGAAGGGGAAGGTGACCAGCAGCCTGATGTCGAACCCGGTGATATTGTCTTTCACTTGGAACAGGCTGAGCATAAGACTTTCAAGCGTGATGGTGCCGACCTATGTGCCACTATAGAAGTTACCCTTGCCGAGGCGCTCTGCGGATTTTCCCGTGTTGTTTTGAAACACCTTGATGGAAGAGGAATCGAAATTAAGCATCCCCAAAAACCTGGCGACGTGCTCCGCCCAGGCCAAGTTCTCAAAGTTGCTGGTGAGGGCATGCCATTCAAGCGTGGCGATGCTCGAGGTGATCTCTATATGATCGTTGAGATCAAGTTCCCTGAAGATGGCTGGGCCTCGAACCCAGCAGTCTTGAGTCAACTCCGAGAGTTGCTTCCAGTGAACAAGGCACCCGCCATTGAAGCTGATACTGTCGATGAGGTAGAATTTGACTCCAAGGCCAGCCTAGATAACATGGGCGAAAATGATAACCAGGGAGGTGGTTCCTGGGTTGATGAAGATGATGATGACGGTGAGGGAGGTGCTCAGTGCGCTACCCAATAGTTCTGAGAATCATCCTATCATTGATAGGTGGACATCATTGTTTTATCCGCCTGTACTCTGCTTGCTATTTCCTTTTTTGTTTAAGCCACTACTTACCATTTTGGCTCTCATGACTTTACCTTGATGACATGCTAGACAAAGACACGACTTGTTATCGGAGATCAGGATTTTAGGCGTTTGGGATAAGAAAAGAATAATTGGTTTCATTCTTCCTTTCTCCTCTTCATCTTAGAGCCTGGTGGGAGTGTTCGTTGATTGATTTTGCCGGCAAAGAATCATTTGCATGATTGGCTAGAAGAATAGAGAATGGAACCGGGATTTTTTATACTGATACATCCTACAACTTTGCATTTTCACTTTTTCCTTCAACTAGTAGCCTCTCCAGCCCCTTGCGAATTGCTGCATTCATACCAGCCGAGGTAGGTTTCATGTCGTTTTTCTGAACAAACACATGAGTGAATCCACCTACAACTTTCACAGCTTCTTCACCCCGTTTAAAAACTCCAACCTCATACATCACACTAGATTTACCCAGCTTAATAACACGGAGTCCTAGATCAAGTACATCTGGGAAAGCAACAGAGGCGAAATAGTCACAATATGATGATACCACGAGGCCAATCTGTGCTTGTTCTGTAGCCGAGTTTCCCGAAGTTGAGTTGGATGTGGATGGATTGAGGCCACAGTATGATATCAAATATGAATTTATAATAGAATCAAAGAGGAATGCATATATGCTGTTGTTGAGATGCGAGTACATGTCGTTATCGGACCTTTTGTTGCCAATTAGTTGTGTTCAGTATTATGCAAGGAGATTTGCCTACCATCGTGTACGGTACTCCAAGTGGTATGCGTAATCCTTCCTCGTTCTGCCTTTCTTGCTTGAAAGGTCATTTTTCATATTGCCTGATCTTCTTTGAAATTGCTTTTATAGTTTTATTTTCTTTAAATGATAAATTCAATATGAATTATTGAACGCTTTTCGATTAATGTCGAGAATGGATCAAAATGCAAGTCACGATAAGGTTGAGCCGAGGCTTTTTCTTATCAGATAAGATGGATTACTAATAGTAACCTAAACCTTATTTCGATATAAACTCATATCACATGATCGAAATAAAGATTTGAGGATGAAAGTTTTGGAAGATGTCGAAAAAGATATCAAAATTGAATTGCGTATTCAATTAAAAGCTAAGAGGCTGATCGTTTTGTGCGTTCCTTCTCTATTTCTGGTATTTTAGCTTTTTGTTGCTTTAACTTCACTTCTGGCGCTCTCATCGCGTGCCCTTGCCTACCTGGCACGGCGAGGCTTCAACTCCCCTCCAACCATGGCTCTCACAACCTATGAAGAACCGAAGCCAGAGCCTGAGGTTTTCAAAGAACCTCCTGAAGTTTGTGTTACGCCATGCGACCCTTGGCCACGGCCCTATTACATTGAAAAAGGGCTCCGTCGTGTGGCCCCGTACTACTACACCTACAATACCTACTGCAAAGAGAGATGGAGGGGGAAGAACCTGTTGGATATCTATTCTACGGAGTTCAGAGACAGGCCAAATGGATACTATGTTTGTCTTTCCCTACTTATACCGTTTTCCTAGTTCAAGCCGAAACTGATCCTTATTACTTACAGAAAGCTGCCATCGATGGTGGACGAATTACTATTGACGGCAAAGTTGCTACGGCCGACAGCATAATAAACAACGGTCAGGTCATCTCGCATACATTACATAGGCACGAACCCCCCGTGACTAGTCGTCCGATCAAGATTATTCACGAGGACGAAGATATTATTGTTATCGACAAGCCTGCCGGTATACCAGTGCATCCTGCTGGGAGATACAACTACAATTCAATAATCGAGATAATGAGATCGGAGCGTGGGCTTGGCTGGATTCCATATCCATGCAATAGGCTCGATAGACTTACATCTGGCATCATGTTTCTTGGAAAGCACCCCAAGGCTGCGGAACAAATGGCGCAATCGTTACGATCACGAACTCTTCGAAAGGAATACATCGCGCGTGTAAAGGGCTATTTCCCAGACGGGGTCGTTCTTTGCGACCAGCCGATGCTGAAAGTCAGCCCTATCCTTGGTTTAAATCGAGTTAGAGCTACAGGAAAGGATGCGCAAACGAAATTCCGCCGGATTGCATACTATCCCCCCGTAGAAAAGGAGGATAAGAATGGGGAGGCCACTGGCACACAGGGACCTGACTCCAGAGCATCCACACCACCCCCGTTGCCTGCTGATGTTGACGAAGGATACAGTATTGTTCACTGTCTCCCGCTCACAGGACGAACCCATCAAATTCGAGTTCATCTTCAATTTCTCGGTCACCCAATTACAAACGACCCAATATATTCAAACCGCCGCGTCTTTGGTACCAACTTAGGCAAATCTGAAAGTACTGGTGAAAACGATGCTGAAATCATCGATCGTCTTTCACGCATGGGCAAAACTGAGCCGGCAGATTCCCTCTGCTACCAAACCTTCCAGACTCCGCCCCCAGAGCGTGTTACCCTAGGTGGTGATCCAAATGTTGTCAACGAACTTCTTGCGCGCGAGCACGATGTTATGATAAATGACTATCTTAGGAGGAAATGTGAAAAGATGAACGGAGAGAACTGTGAAATATGCGGCACTGAACTGTACTCTGATCCGGGTGTACATGAGATGGGTATATTTCTCCATGCAGTAGCATATGCTGATAATGCCGGTAAATGGAAATATAAGAGCCAAATGCCTGAATGGGCCATGCCGCCTGAAGGTGCCGAGGGGCCAACGGAGGCACCGGAGTGGACCGAAGACATAGATGGCGCTGTTGTTATTGGGAAAGGCATGATGGAAGATGATGAGACGGCTTTGGTAGAAGGGCTGGGTACAATCAACTTGACGAAGTTAAAGGAAGAGAATATGAAAGCGGAACCTGTTGCGTCTAGCGGCTAAACGTTTGATGCTATAGATCTTCGTATATAGAATATAAATTCTTGCATATAATTATACTCACGGTTTTTAACGACACGAAACTACATCAAGTATGGAACGCAAATTTTTTACGTACTCATTGACTGTGTGGTGAGCAGCTATGATAATTATATCGTAATATCATGAAACTTGTACATCCGAGGTATGCTTCATTGCTTCATGGGGAAGTCCAGTCACACCTCTGGGAAGTCATTGCTGATGGGGATGCAGCTGGTTGCAGTGTGAACATGACCAACTGTCCGCAGGACCATTTGAGTGAGAATCGGGTAATTTATTCATTTTTTTTATAAATTCATCTAACCCAACCCTGGTAGGAAAACCGCGTTTCCTAGAGTAGAACAAGGACGAAGATTAAGTGATCATGACAACACCCAGTTCTCCCCAACCGCCCAGCAAACAAACGAACAAAGAGAGAAAGCGTTTACGATTCGGTTGTTAGTCTGCCCTTAGCGTTCGTGACCTTGACACCGAGAGCCTTGGCCTTAGCAATGATATCGACTCGCTTGGCGGAAGAAACAGCGTGACCGATCCTGATTGGCGAAAAAGTAATTAGATATGATCGAAGAAATAGAGAGGTTATAACCTCTGCTTTAATCGAAAGGCAGCCGGGGGAAATGTACTCAGCAGCGTATGTGCGGTTGTGCATCAAAAGTAGTTCAACGTCCTTTGGATTCTGGACGAGGAAGACTTTGTGCCCGGAGGGGATCATGTGGCGGGTCTTCTTGTTGGAGCCATAGCCAATCTATTAAAGTCGACCTTGCATCAGTATATTCCATTCAACCTGTAATTCCAATTTGCGTTGCCAATGCGGAACTTGATTGTGTAACGGGTGTTATTCATTCTCAAAGGCGCCGCGTGGTAAGAGTAAAACGTACTTTTGGCATAGCAGCCTGGCCGGAGAAGCGTCGGCGGACACGGTTGTCAATACCCTTTGGTTTGCGCCATGAAGGGTCAACACGCATGTAGGTATCAGACTGATGTCTGTTGAAGCGCTTCTTGTCTATATCCCAACAACAAATTCAATCAGCTTATCATCTTCAACCATGTCTTTATATTTTCCCCATCCAATAACGACGTATCCAATTGCTTCCCGTGAAGCACAAGCGCGAATGGCCCAGAGACAACCGGTTATATTCCCAAGCGCACATAATTCGAATCGACGGCCAAGTTATTTGGAGGGAGGGATGTTCGAGATAGACATACGCTTCTTCACAATCGGGACATGCTTCTTTGCGGCGACCATCTGATGAACATGAACACAGGTTAGCTCAAATAAACCCCAGCAGAGAGGACTCAGCATCAATGTCTGTGACGCCAGTATCGAGGACAAACGCACCTTGGCTGATGTTACGGCGTCCCGAAGCTACTCGTTGGGGGGTTGTTCTTCGTTATTGTCGTCGTCGAAAAAAAGGAAGAGAAATCTCAAGATTTGCCCGCAGTCGCTTTTCCAACGAGTCGCACTTCCCGTTGTGGACTAGCGCAAGTGTTTCTAAGCGAGGAGAGGAAAAAGGCCTAGGGTTGATGACTAATAGCCCTATCTTCTTTGCTGAGTAATTCCAGTCACATGATGTATGTCATTAGGTAAGTATGATGTAATCATGCAGAAGGAACGAACCGCCAAGACACCAAAAACAGAAATAACAACAACAGACGCCGGCGAGGAGAGCCGCATCTTTCTTGCCAACCGAAGGGGTTACTATCATACGGTATGCGGCAGTGGGATTATTATGTTAATAAGTTGATTGCTAGCCGAGAGCTGGGATAGAACTCCAGAATAACACAGACACCTGAGCCCTCTTAAACCATAAAAATGCAGCAAAAAAGCACCTGAGCCCGAGTGATGTTTCGGGCGAGAAGGGGGTGAGACTACTAACATATCGCATAACCATCATATAAAAAGCAGTTCAAATCATCACAAACGCCATAGTGGGGTATAACGCAGGGGTAAGTAAGGGGTATGAGCAGAAGGAAATAATGTACGCGCCGGAGTTATGGGTTTCCTATCAAACCCTTGACTCTTTCAACCCGCTCAACTGCTTTCTCCAACCGCTCAAGCCTCGTCCTTTTCTCCTTGTCCCGCTTTTCAAGCACCTGGACACGCTCCTCGAGCTTTGCTCTCTCCCTCCGCTCGTTTGCTACCATCTCATTTGCTCGCATGAATAGCTCGGCGCTCAGTTCTTCGAGTTCCGTATTTGCTTGCGTGAGACGCGACTCTGCCTCCCTCCGAAGAGCCTGTTCGCGGTTCAGCGCGCCCTGCAGGAAACTGGTTGGTTGTGGCAGGCCGTTGTTAAGTGGGTTCATGGCTGAGTGTTCTCCGTTCTTGCCAGCTCTTGTAGATGGGGGAGAAGAAGACGAAGGGGACTGTGGTAGTTGGCTTGAAGACACTGATTGACGAGACTGGGTGGCGCTGGCGTTGCTACTTGTTCGTCTGCCATAGGGGAAGTATGAAGCAAGTGTTGCCAGTCTAGTTTGTTGCCGGAGAGGAGAATGTGACTGCTGTTGTTGTGGCGGGTGCTGATCCAGGTTCCGGAGCTCCGGCGCGCTCACGGGTTTAGACTGTGAGCTTTGCGACTGACTGCTCATTCCATCCTCATAGTCAGCTAGTTTCTCGGCTAGAAGTAGAAGATTTGGATGGTCAGCCTTCCTCGTAGCGTTGTATACTCTGTGTGAAGCCGTTAACATACCAGAGAGAGCAGCTTTCTCGGTCAGCAGCCTGGTCTGCGCCTCCAACTCCTCTATCCGCCTCTGCTGGGCTATGTTCCTCTCCTGCAGCTGTATATATGCGCCCTCAAACCCACATCTCGGGCAACCGGTATTTGACAGGCCCTGCGCATCACTGAAGCCGCCGGCTCCTGCAGCGGCTGCGTCCAGGGAGTACGGCGGCCTAATATGCGTAGGTGGGACTGCTGCCGTAGACATATGCTTTTTCCGTCCTCAAAGTCGCGAATCTTCAGGGTCATCCGTGTGCTGTTGGCGATGGTAGAGGAGTCGCATAGCCGCCCACTACCTCATGCTAGCAGTCCTGCAGCTGCAAGGGTCGGGGCACTTCGGTTGCAGGAACGGCAGGGCTGCAGAACGGCAGGCGGGCAACTTGTGTATAGCAAAAGCAAAGCAAGTATTGTAGGTATTTGATATGCGTCTGGGGAAGATTGACAAGTCGACCGCAAGATGGATCAGCAGGCACAGAACTTCCTTTCGGCCTTTTGAAACGAAGGCTGAGAGGAGGCTAAAAAAGCCACAGTATGCAGGTCAAAAGTTTCGACAAACCCGAAGCCACTAACCGCCGGCTTTTTTCCTTTCACTTTCCGCTAACTCTGAGCTTGAAGAACAATGGATTTGTTCAGATGAAAGAGAATCCTGAAAGAGAGGATTTTTCAGTTCTTGGACCTGGAGTTCGCTAGGTGAAACGAAGTGCTTGCTTGCCGTGCAAGACGTAACAACTTTGCCTCGTCCGTTCCCCATGGCGAATCAGGGGGCTGGTGGATAGTTACAAAGGTACGTACCTTGATTGTTATCAATCAAACTTCAATAGAACCAAACACCGAAGAAACATTATCCGGGTGCTTTGCGAGTAGCAGAGCCTAGAAATGTCCCTCGGCAGCTTGTACAATAGTTATGGAAGTAAATTATCACCAAACTCCTCTATCCTGCTTACAAACTATGGAAACGCTTTTCCTTCTCCAGACGAAACACACTGTAGCAGATTGGTAGGGAAGAAAAAGGAAGAAGAAAATGGATTCCAATAGGAAATACAGCTAGCTTTAGAGAAGGGGGAAAGAAATTGTATAATAAAGGGGAGCAAAAGCTGATCAGACTCGTAAGAAAAGACCGTTAGTTACATGTATGCGCAAATCTTAGACCAGGGGAGAAACGGCAGCTGGTCTCGACGGCAAAGAGATATTGTGCAACAAGGGCGGTATTCCAGCGGAAGACGAAGGGCGAATATCATTTTTCGCTTAAGCGAGGCAGGCAACCTTACCAAAGGCGAGAGCAGATGCTGGATGGAAGCCGGATAACGGAAACCCTCAAAGCAGGAACATATTCGTCTTTCCGAGAAACCGAAAAAAAGATCCCTAGTACCGGCTATATCCGGCCGGGAATATGGCAGTCGAAGGAGATGTCATAGCTAAAGGAGACTCGTTTGATGCCGATGCTGTAGTATTGATCCCCTAAACACCAGTGTAAAAGAGACACCAGCGAAGCTGCACAAAAAATAAAAAATCATCAAAACAACCAGGTCTTCCGGAAGAAAAAGCGTCATGTACATCGTCAGAGTACATGGAGAGCAATGATGAAGGAAACCCAGCAGCCTTTTTCGAGTCAGTCTCAATCAAAACGCTAGATAAATCACTCAACAGTAAAAAGTCATGCAGGTGAAAAGAAAGGTAGAAGAGAACAAGGAGACAAGAAATCGTTTGGCGTTTTTTGTAGAGTGACATGACATGACATGAAAAGAAAAAGTGTCAAATTTCCGTGGAAAAAACAAGGTATAAAAGTAGGCTGGGAAGATATGCTGCAAGAAGACCGGGTACGGTCTGTAGGGTAGATCGATTCCTACTCTTCCTTCATATCGCAATAGCCAAAAAAAAAAAAAAAAAAAAAAAAAAAAAAAAAGAGACAAGAAGACGAAACTCAAAGGGTTAGTTAAAGGGAAGAGAGAATTGAATGAAGAAAGGGATGTCAAATAAAGCCCGTTAATGTAAAGGAAAAAACTGCATCGTCATTTTCGGAAACGTTGAAAGACATCGCTTATCTGATCGTTATTGCGAGAAGGCAGGGGGATGGCGGAAGAGCAGCTGCATAACAGGGGTATAGAAGCGACTCTGTGAGTTGTTTGACATCCAAAGATAGATTGGAGAACGTCCAGCATATTGCGGTGACCTCATCTGCAAGTCCTCCGGTGTAACCTTCTTCTGATATTGGGTATCAAATTGTTGATGCCTAAGAGGCCTGGCCGCCACGGTTATAGTTTCCACGACGGGGGTTCTTCTGCTTTGCGCTGACGGTGCTCCATCCGTCTTCATCAGGAGTAGCAGGAGATGCAGGAGATGCAGTCTCCGATGGAGTACCTTGAGCAGGAGGGCCACGCTGGGAGGTGCTGCGAGATCCTCCACGGCTGTGAGGTGGTCCACCACGGCCACGTCCACCACCGTTTCGCCAGCTGCTGCTTGTCCGGCTTTGTAGCGGTGGGCGGCCCTTGTCTTGACCAGATTCAGTCTTCTGTGTAGGAGCGGCTGCCTTTTCGGCTACCTTTTCAGCTGTTTTTTCACTCTCATCGGCAGCTTTCTCCTCGCCTTCTTCACGTTTTAGAATTTCAACAGGCTTTCCTTCTGTTGTATCTTCTTTGGTTCCATTTGCTTCTGCTTTCTCGGCCTCCTCCTTTGCAGCCTTCTCAGCTTTTTGCTTCTCTAGGCGTTCCGCCTTAGCCTTCTCGTCAGCCTCTTTCTTCTGTAGTAAGGCCAGCTCTCGCTTCTCAGCTACTTCCTTTTCACGGGAAGCAGTATCAATGGGCTTTGCGCCTCCAAAAATACTGGACTGGGCTTCGGCAACAGCTGGGGAGGGTGCAGTAGCCTCCGACTCAGGGATTGTCCTCTTCTGCAAGTTAAGTCTCGGTCTTGCTCCAGGGACAGGAGCTGCGGCGGCGGCAGTTGGAGTTACAGGCTCAACAGGAGTTTCCGGTTGAGCAGGAGCATCCGGCCGCATCCTAGCTCTCCATTGGTTATCAAGCTCGGGCGCAGTTGGAGCTCTTTCAGGAGCAGGACGCTCGGTAAATTCTCGGCGGGGGGGTCGAGAGCCGTCTTGGGAGCGGCCTTCACCCCATGCTGGGGAGGCTCTGCGGAACTGAGGGCCATCTTTGCTGTGGGGACGACCCTCCCTGGAGGGAGCGCTTTGCAGGCTAGGAGAAAGAGGTCCCTTTCTCTCCCAGTTGGAAAAATCACGCGATCTACCGTCGTTGGCCGCTTCATAGCCACGTCGGCCAGGGCGCTCATTTGCAGCATCAGAAGCAGGGTCGAAATTGCGGGCGCCACCGAAACCTGGGCGATCTGATACGCGTCTCTGACCTGGAAGGTCAGGCAGTGGGCCCTTTCGGGTCCAGTCGCTAAGGTCTCTTCCATCATGTCGGTCTTTGGCTATAAAAAGGGTTAGTCACCAGGGTTGATTGTTTATCGGAAATTAACGGTAAAGAGTTACATACGAGGTTCTGCAATGCTCACTCGGATATTTCTCCCTTGAAGGGAGGTACCCTGGAATGTTAGTGCCTTCTTGAGGCCGTCAACTGAGGCAAATTCAACATAGCCAAAGCCTTTTGGGGATCCAGTAAGTTTATCCTCCACAATACGGACACTGGTAACCTCACACTCAGCGAAGAGCTCCTGGATATCGGCCTGGGTGGCGTCGAAGGAAAGGTTACCAATGTGAGCGGTATAGGGTGGCTGGGTGGGCATAGGCAGTTCTTCTCTCACGGAGTAGCCACGGTCTTTTTTTTGTCAGAAGGAAGACTGTCAGCAGAGCATGCCATTGTCAAAGGACGCTGTTGTTTTCATACCGTGATGCTCTTGGGCATATCCGCCAGACGTTCCAAACGTGCTACGTTCACGGTCTCCGCCATAGCCAGATCTGGGTGCGTAGGAGGATACTGAAATGCATATATGTTATTATATTAGGAGATGGTACACTCGGGATTTCGAAGCGAGATAAACTCACCGGCTGTGTCGAAGGGAAATAGTCAGCGATGATCGTAACACATACACGGATGGTAAGCACTTACATGGAATAGGATTATCCTCCATCTCGTCGGCCCAGGAGCCGTAGGCTGGTTATCATGACCGTTAGCAACTAGGCTTCCCACATCCCTCCAACGCCCCCTCCTCTCCAAAACCCCCCCGGGAGGCTCAAACTCACTCTCATCCGCCAGAAAAGTCCCAATGGACATCTTCTGGGCTTTCGACTTTGCAGGAGCTAGACATACCAGGGTTAGCGACTCAACTTCCCTTCGGATGTGCCCTCCTTGAGCCTGATTCATGGTAGCGGTTTTTAGTGGAGTGTGGAACAGGGCAAAAAGGTGAACCAACCCATGATTGCGATTAAGACAGGACGCGCAAAGGCGATGCGCGTAAGTAGCCTAAGAGAAAAGCCTATAGGTAAACGGGTCCCTAGGCACCAGCAAAAAGTAGCTAATCTTTCGAGAGGTTGTGTATGTGGTGTGTGATGTCTTATGCAGGTCAAAGAAGAGAGCGAAAGAGTGTCTTTTTTTAGTTAAAATGATAAATTTTGGCGATGACGCTAAAAGAAGGAAAGAAAAAAAAGTCAGCGTGCGTGAGGGTCACTGGCCAATCAGAGGGCTTAAATGGTATATTGCTTAGGTAATCATGGCATCTAGGGCAGCGAGGTCGACGAGTGAGGAAAAGAAGACAAGAAAGACGACAGGCAATAAGGAGGAAAGGATATCAATATGTTTAACAGGTTCATGGCGGGGATAGTGTTGCTGATACAGGTATTCATTAGACAGTTAGTATATGCTATGGCAACTGGTGATACCTGGCATTATGTAGAATGCAGTATCACGCTTATGGGTCTGGTTTCAACAAGTGACAATCACCTGATAATGACGATATGACTATAGGATCAGAACGTTGATACGGATATATGTATACTCTCGAGTCAGTAATAGGATATATGTTCAAAAGGCGAGTGTAAGCTTGGGTGAGAAGACCGTAAATGCCGTCATGTTTTAATGTAATTGATATGTTAGAGACGTACAACCCTCTTGAATACAACTTCCAATGTAAACAATCCTTTCTGCGCTTGTTTATCCAGGTTGCTGTCCAAATGTGTTTCTCTGGAAGGAAGGAACCTTATGCCAGCCCGAAGAAGAGCTTGTCAGTCCTACACCAGAGTAAATACACAACTAGATAGCATATAGCCATCTACACCGGATATCTACGAAGTACAGATCGAAGTGGCCAGTGTCAAGCCGCTGTGTTGCTCGTCGTCGACACGTTGACCCCATCGGTTCGATAGAAAGATGCCGCCTTATCTTATCTGATCGGCGCTCGGCCCATAACCGGTAAAACCTTATCTCCACCTCCGTTCTCAACGGGTTTGTCTCAACAATTGAAGGGGACAAAGACGAAGTGGGAATGTATAACATCAATAAAATGGAATGTAGGAAAGAGGGTATAAATGTTTATAAATTTATTGCTACTTTCTTTAGGGATTGACAGAGTAAATATTCACACGAATCCCGAACATTTTGGTGATCAGGCTTCCTCAAATTGCTTATTTAGCGTATGACAAAAGAATATTTGAAAGCCGTCAGGCTTCAATGCGTACGTTTTTGAGTATAAAGTCAACGTTCCCTGGATTTGCTGCTTGCTGCGTGCTGAAATGCATATAGAAGAACCATCTACTGTATTGTCCAATCACAGCCTAAGTTTCGTGATTACTAATCACAGTCACCCCCATGAAACCTTAACCAATCGATGGGTTGAGAGCGAAAAGCTGCGTCTTAAGGCACTTAGGTGTCTGCTTATTATCTCAGATCAGTTCGAGAGTTTGCATGGTATCACTAAAATCAAGTAAGGAACGTGAAAAAGAATTTTGACCTGATGGTGAACCCCAAATTGAGCCAGGCTACCGTGGACTCACGAATGCTGGATAATTGTTAGTCCGATGTTCATGAAGGCGCCCGGGCCCGGGCACCATGGAAGGGTCATCACGATCCAGTGGATGGATGGATCTACATCTGCGCAGAAAGGCAGACTGCCTGGTTAAGACAATGCATACAAGATGAGTACAGAAGGTGGGCCGAGCACGCCTCGCACATCCATACCTGTGTCGCCAGTCCTGCAAGCTGGTGCCCTAGGCGGTATGTCAAGACTCATCACCTTGGTTGAAATGATGTTGACCTAGCGTACCGTCCAGGCACTTGCGGTCTTCTCTATGGCGGCGTATCTGGAGTGCTTCGGGCACATCACCCGATAATAAAATCAATATCTACTGGAGTCTACTGGTTTGCATTCGGCAGCTCATTCTGGTGTAAGTGTTGCTCTTGAAATTGGCCATCCGTTGTGTTAACTAGGATAATATACAGGGTTGAGGAGCAATATCCTCAGAATTCAATTCGAAGACAATGCAACACCGAAAGAACGCATTTATTCAAGTGTTGCGTCCAGCGGCCTGTCAGGGGGGGCCATCAATTTGGCAATGAGTGAGTATTTCCCAAGTGTCATTGCTATAACTCATGCATATCATCCCGACGATTGAAACATTCGTGTATCGGCAACATAACTAAAATAACAAACAGATCGACGTTTTCTTCCTGGCCTAGTTATCTGTTCCATGTTGGGCCTTGTGGGACAGTATTCTTACAATCAACTTGAGGAGCGCCAGGCACGGCTCCAATCAGAACCAGCGTCGACAAAAACATGGGCCGAACGGATGGCCGATTCTCGATGGATACCAATCAGAAATCTGTCTGATGAACAGTATAAAACCATGCTGCAAGAAAAGCTACTTGGTGTCGACGTGGAAATCGCATTGATCGACGACAGGTTGAAAGAATTGAAAGCCTCTGGAGATGAGAAACCAGACCCTGGTAAATAACATAACATTTCCGTTAGTCTTTTTCTGTATATTAATTTTTGGTTCTTTTGTTGTTTTGTCCTGTACATGTACTGTAGATTCTCGGTCAACGGCCGAACAGAGATATCCCTCGGTTTAACAGCCTATCCAATACATCCAATGGCTTTCTTATTTAGACCGGCTTTACGACCAGAATTCACTCGCCCGAAAGGTGGCTTTAATTATATCCTTCCGTATTTCGGATGCTTACAAACGCCACCCGTTAGGGCGTAGTTGGGAGTAGCCGTGCTTGGGTCGTAGAATTATATCTCTAGATTGCACTTTATGGACACTATATTGAATTTTTCATTATTTTATATTTGTCGAAAGGATACCGCCTCAAAGCAAGTTGACAATGAATTCCATACCCACAGGTTTACCAAAAAAGCCCAGAGTTCTGAGCCTAGGTACTATCAAACACCTGGGCGAAGATTTCATCGCAGAGTTCCAACGGGAATTTGATTTATCGGTACTAGAGACCTGTCCACGAAGTGAATTAAAAAGCCGACTGGAGGATGACATCAAAGAACATGGTCCGGTAGACGCATTTATCATCGGGCCAAATAGCATACCGTATTATCCGTTTGACGAAGAGATTCTCTCACCGCTGGTACCGGGCTGCAAAATAATAGCAAGCCTTACCTCGGGCTACAACATGTTTACCGTAGAATGGATCGCAGAGCAGGGAGTGTGGCTCACAAATACCCTCGATGCCGTTGCAGAGCCCACGGCAGACATGGCCCTGTTCTTATTGCTGGCAGTTTTTAGAAATACAACGAATGCAGAACGGAGCGCGAGAGCAGGGACCTGGAGAAACAACTTGAATCCAACTCATGATCCATCGGGATGTACCTTGGGCATCGTAGGGCTTGGAACAATTGGAAAAGTAAGCAATTTCACATAATCATCGATCTATGACTATAGTATTTGTATATTGACAATAGGTTTCTTTCCCTCTAGTATCTGGCCAAAAAGGCGGCTGTATTTAATCTCAAGGTCATATATCATAATAGAACTCAACTGCCTGCGGACATTGAGTCTGAGTATGGGGTGACATATTACGCCTCATTACATGAGATGCTTGCAGCCTCTGATGCAGTCTCAATTTGTTGTCCACTGACGGAACAGACCAGAGGTTTAATAGGACCAAAGGAATTTGCGGTGATGAAAGACGGTGCTTATCTAGTCAATACGGCTCGCGGACCGATTGTGGATGAAAAGAGTCTGATAGAGGCTCTTGAAAGCGGGAAGATAACCAGAGCAGGACTTGACGTTTTCAGCGAAGAGCCGGAATTTAACCCGTATTTCAAGACCAGTGACAAGGTTATAATTCAGCCACATCTTGCAGGTTTGACTGACGTGGCTGTTAGAAGAGCAGGCCGGGAAAGCTTTGAGAATGTGCGTGCTCTATTTCGAACAGGAAGGCCAATCTCGCCTGTCGTTGATATTAAACCTAATGTTGGACAGAATTAGAGTAGAATAAAAGACTTAGATGCAAGATCAATCATCTCGGAAGATATATCTTCAAGTTGCTGATGCCTTTGGGAACACTCTCATGACCTAGCAGATCCCTTACTGTTGGTCAATCTTTTCGGTTCGTTTGGATAATTCCGGATATCGCTGAGTAAGGTATACTTCATGGCTTGGACACAGCACCACAGTAAGTCGTTTAGAGATACCTTTTTCCAACTGTCTGTTTGGTTCGGAGAGGAGCAGTAGACGGGAGAGCCAGCAGCCCCGGGAATGTTTGCGAATGCTTTGTCTTGCAGCCTCTTGCGAAGGGCGTTAGAAGCTTCTAGTGACAATGTATTCTCGGTCATACATCTATCGTTGAGTCAGGAGATATCAAATAATCGGCTATTGGGTATTGGGTATCGGGTATTGGATTGCTTTGCCAACTGGGCATCTTCAGCAATAAGCTATAATACATGGATAGGAGATTGCTGAACTCGCGTCGAGAAATGCGACCCATGCAAAGAGCACAAAGGAACCTGCTGAATGCGACATTGGTATATTTTAAAAGATTTATGTTGCACAATGTGGATGGAGTAAGTTTCATGCAGCAAGTTGGCACTGATGATATTAGAAGTTATTTTTGCCACTGGGAAATGAGCGCAAGCATCTTGTTGGCTACCTCTCTATTTACACCACTAACTAGCTATTTACACCACCAGAGAACGTATATATCACCACAAGATACCCATTTGTACACGTCCATATGGCAGAAGAATCTATGAATGCCAAAGATGAGAAAAAGAACAGTGATTACCAGGAGAGAAATGCCTGTATGGCGCCTTCACAGCCAGTATAGACCTAACCAGCTAGTTAACTAATATCCAACTATTGAAGTCACCAAATTAATGAACCCCAGACCAAAGCGAGCAGCCTCGCCGCCCATCGAGCCCAAACCCTCTCGTCTGAAACCGTTCAAAAACCGCGACGGCCTAGGAGCCTACATCAAAGACCCCGAGTCCTTCTCCGCGTCAACCGTCATATCCCACTCGCCGGAGTTCGTGGTGATCCACGACCTCTACCCTAAGTCCGCCGTACACCTCCTCATACTGCCTCGAGACCCCCAAAAATTCTTCCAACACCCCTTCGTTGCCTTTGAGGATGCGAGTTTCCTTGAAAGCGTAAGGCAGGAGGCTGCCAGGGTGCGAAAACAAGCTGCTTCAGAGCTACGAAGGAAGTTCGGGAAGGTTTCGGCTTTGGATAGGAAGAGGAGTGAGGCGCTTGATGCTGATGATGATGGGGATGAGGATACAGTACCTGATGAATTGCCGGAGGGGAGGGATTGGGATAAGGAGATAATGTGTGGGATACATGCGAATCCGTCTATGAATCACCTGCATATCCATGTTATTTCGGTGGATAGATATGGGCAGAGTCTAAGGCATAGGAAGCATTATAATAGCTTTTCGACGCCGTTTTTTGTCGAGCTTGATGCGTTCCCGCTGGCGGAGGACGACAAGCGCAGACATCCTGATAGAGAAGGGTATTTGAAGTCGGATCTGAAGTGCTGGAGGTGTGGCCGGAACTTTGGCAATAAGTTTACGCAGCTGAAGGCGCATTTAGAGGAAGAGTTTGAGGAATGGAAACGTATATAGCCATATTAGCATATCCTAATTACTTGGTAGTTATGCAGGAGAGGTGAAGGAAGGAGTATTATTAAATGAAGATTTTGATTAATGCACCTATTACCCCCTATAGCTAAAGATTAAAAGCCTTATCTGCGCCAAACAACTCAACAAATAAGGACGAGAAGAGAAGGAAAAGGTAATAACCGCCTGCGCCAGTGACTCCGAAGCTCCATACCAAAAAAGAAGAAGATTTTGTAAAGAAAGTGAGCGACGCGGGCTCCTTGACGAAGAATGAGAAGAATCGGTGGACTGGACGGCCATATCTTGAAGCACAAGGAAGAAAGAGAAGCGAATACAAGGGTATAAGGAGCGTGAGAAGGTTGCAAGGAAACAAGAATAAAATGAAGTGAAAGTAAGCAAAGAGTGAGGGATACCGAGATCCCGTATCATGCTTGGGTGGTCGTCAAAGGATCGTGAGATTTCTCGACCGTCTAAGTGATGAGTAGGAAAGAAGGCAGGGGTGGGTGGATGAGAAAAGGTATACTTCCCTCCTTCACAACCGCTTGGAGCTGGCCCGGCGATCTAGCATGGACCAAAGGCTGGAACCTTCATGGACCTCAGGGAGGCGGTAGCCATTGAGCATCTCGTTCTCGACGAAGATTGAGGCACGCTTGAACCTGCGGTCTGCGTACTTCTCGTATATGGCTAGATGGTGCTGCTGTGGAGCCTCACAGCATTCGAGGATGAGGCCAATGAGCTGGTAGAGCTGGCCGAATGTGTATCCCGAATAGAATACATGGGCAGGGGTCTAGGTGGAATATGTCAGCAATGAGAAACGCCGAAACATTAAAAAAAAAAAAAAACAGGATAAAACAAGTCAAGGCGAATAATGAACATACCCAGTCCCCTTTCCGCAGCATCAGTCTGGCTAGACAGTGGGCGCCGGCAGCAGTGAAACTCGGTGGCGTGCCGACGAACCGCTCGTCCATGATGGTGAGTTCCAAAAAGTACTTTGCGAGAGTACGAGTTTCCAGGTCATAATCATCAGCCTTGCTAATCCGACGGAGGAAGCTCATTGGCCCTGGCCATCCGAGCTCGAACTGGAGCATGCTAAGCATGAAACGTTCGGCCTTGAGAATCTCGTCAACGGTGTATCCGTTATCAACCATGTAGACGATCTCCTGCACCGAGGGACAGTTGATCTCTTCGTACTTTGCAGCGATAAAGATAGCGGTAGCGCCAACAAGCTGGAGCTTGCCCAGCGAGACGATCTTGCAAGACAAGAAACGGTCTATGTAGTTGACGCAGAGGAATAGAGTCTCTGGAAGAAGCGAGAAGCGGTGGTGGACCTGGACCAGCCAGTCCATCAGGACAGAGCGCATTGACCACTGAATCTCTGCTTGGTTGTCCATGTAATGGGCATTTGGGAGGAGTTTGAGCTATGAAAGATGATAGCGTTAGCATTGGCATTATTAGCAATCGCAAAACGGCACATTAGTACGTAACATACCTCGAGTTCCCTTAGGTATTGGAAGATCTCTTCACCATATTCAGCTACCATTGTAGTATCCCGCCACTCATCATCGTACTCTTCGACGGAGGTAGAGGTTTCCATGATCTGCCTTGCCAGAGCTAGTTCCCGACGGGACTGCTGGCTCATTCTGGGGAATAATACCATAGTTGCGCCGCCAGTGGTATTATCACGGGAACGGTATGAGCGGGCAGTGGCATAGCCATCTTCGTCATAGTTGTCTTCCTCCTCTTCGTCCCAGTATTCTTCTGGTTCGGATTGGTCATATTTACGCGACGAGACGGTGATATCACTTGGTCGTTTGGTCGATGGCATTGAGCCTCTGGCTCCATCGCTGGATATCCTGGTAACCTTGGACTTTGTCACCTCAT